AAATACATTCAAATTGGTGTCCACCCCAACTTCTTGTGGAAGTGAGTTCCAGAGTTTAACGATACACTGTATGAAGTAGTACTTTTGTCTATCCTGGAGCTTGAACCACTTAGCTTCAGTGGACGGCTCAGGTACTAAAATTATGAGAGGGAGCAAAACATCTCTCTATTTACTATGAATAATGGTACACACCTCTATCACGCCTCCGCTTACCCTAGTTTTTTACCAAATTAAAAAGTCTCAGGCAATTAGCAGCTTAAAATGCAACAAAGCCGTCGCCTCCACAACTCCTATTTGTGAAGCTGTCATCTGCGGGTAAGCAATGGGCGTCCCAAATGTACACGCCTCGGTTTAACTGCGAAGTGCATGCGGTTTGAAGATTGCCTTTCGGATTAAAGCTGGTTTGAAGGGAAACACATCAAGCGGCAGTATTTCGCAAGAAACTACACGATAGCTCTGGGTTGTGTGCACACGGATTCAACAAAAAGGGGGGGGGGTATGCATTGGAAAGACAGAGAAAAGGATAATGTGGTAAAAAACCCAAAAACCTAAACCGCTGTCTCCATCAAGGAACTGCACCAGCTCCTTGAACACTTCCGTCGTCCCTTACGGCATCTTTTCTAGCTCGACAACATCTCTTATTTTGGAGACGAAGAGAATTGAACCGAACAGTCTTCCTTCCATACAATAAAAACTTGAGTAGGAAAGCGCATGGATGGCTGCCTCCCTTTTCTGCTTCTCCTACTTGCTTGCGGCCCTGCAACGAGAGACACTGGGGGTTTTATTCCTCCTGGTCTCCTGACATTTTTTAATTTTCTTTCCGTTCCTCTGGGGAGAGGCCACCACGCGAAGAAACACGGCGTCAGAAGTAAGCAGGCAGCTCCCTTCCGCGAGGAGACAAAGTCATGGTCCGCTTCAGCCTCGCTCGTCCCCCTCGCTCCGACCGAGGCTTCCGGGCCACAGATTTGCAGGCGGCATGGGGGGCACTGGAGGAGCCCGAACTTTTTAAAAACACGAAGCCCTAACCCTTTTGAAAACAATCTATATATCAACGCACAAACGCCGGTGCTAATCCTCGCTCTTGGCACCGGAGAGAAGGAGGAGGTGGCGGCGGCGGCATCTAATGGCGAGCGAATCACAGAACGAACCGAGGCGGGCTCTCGCGCAAACGGGGCGCAGCAGGAGGAGGAGGAGGAGGAGAAGCGCGCGCGGAACCTGGAGAAGGCTTTGCCAGGCGGCGGGGGGAATTAAAGCTGCACAGGCACGACACCGCCCTTCCGCAGCCGCCGCCGCTGCTGCCCGGTCTTCTAAGCTGACCCAGGCGAGGTGGGCGGGACTGCGCGCCGCCGGGTCCCCCAGGAAAGGGCGGGGAGCGAGGCCGGCCTCCTCGCTGGTGTGGAGCAGCCTCTCCGGCGCCGTGTTTACATCCGGCGCCGCTTGCCCTGGGCTGCCCTGCTCCTCCTCCGGGGCCTGGGCCTGCTCCCGCTGAAGCCGCCTTCGCTCCCTTAGGCCGGGTCAATGCGGCGCTTTCCGGCGGGCTATGGACACCAGCGACCTCTTCACCAGCTGCAAGAAGGGCGATGTTTTCCGAGTGCGGTGAGGCCCTTGCCCAGGTTATGGGGTGGGGGGGGACCCCCGGGAGAGGGCCGCACCCCCCCATCGGTGCTGCGCCTTGGCAGAAGCTGGGGCTAGGGAGCTTAATAGGGGGCTGTCCCTTGAGGTTCCGGTTTGGGGAGCACCTGAATGGCAGGTGGAGGTTTAGGGGCTGCCCTGGGACTTAAGGTAAACTCGTCTATTTTTTTTCTTCTAGCTTTCCTCGAAGTTTGTTGTGTGTGTTTAGGATGTTTAGATGGCTCTTCTAGACAGCAGCAAAAAAAAGGGCTGCCTGAGAAGTAAAACTGGGAAGCTGTTTAGAACCAGCTTCTGGGCTTGTTTGCACACATGAAAGCAATAACCTGGGTGAGAGGGCTCTGGGCATGTACAAAGTGCCTTCGGTAACCCCAGCTAATGCCTGCTCCACCCATCTAGGCTTAAAGGGAGGAGAGACTTCCAGATAGGAGCTTCGAAGTTCTAGGCAAGGCAGATTTCTGGCACACACTACTTTTAGAAAGCAAACGTGGGGCACAGGGGGAGTACTGGCTGGGGCTGGGGGAAAAAATTGAATGGAGGATATTGGGCACAACCAGGGATATTTTGGAGGGAGAATGTCACAGATCTGTGAGGGGAATAGGGAACAAGCATGGACTGGATAACTTAAGAGTTCTGTTGGGTGTGGCAGCTCTTTGGTCTTCAACTGGTGGGTTGGAACCCACGACTGTCACAGCCTGATCTAACATGTTGCAGCAGTAGCAATACCATCATACAAATATGTTTTTGTGTGTTGTTTTTTTTTAAAAGGTTTCCAAATGCATGTTTTGGTTAAAAGTTGAGTCCTAGGTCTGGGAACATTGAAGATTATTGTGGCAGAGAATAAGTTAGGGGGCAGATAAATAGTTAGGAAGCAAAATTCTTTTCAGAAATTCTTTTCACCTGCCGGTATTTGCCAACCTTCCTTCCCCAAGCTATTCATATTTGGCAATAGAATGGCTGCTACTGTGTTGCTTCATGTCCCTAATGGGAGGCCCCAAGTTCTTGCTGTGTTTTTAAAAAGGAAAACAACTTTTGCCTCTTCTGCCTATCAGCTCAGCTTCCTGTCCTGAAGCAGCTGACTACTTTAGATATCCCCTGAGAGCAGGACCAAAAAGAAACAGACACACAAAAAGGCAAATGGTATTTTAAGGCTTTATAAACACATTTTCTCCTTTTTTAAACTGAAGATGTTGTAAAATATAAACTATATGCTGCTTTTCCACACACATGTGCCCAAGCGTGACTCAATGGAATACAAGCACTGTCACAAAACACATCATTACAAAGACAAAACAGTTAACATGACAGTAATTCATGAATACAAGAATAAATATATACCAATCATATATTAAAAATTCTATCAATTAATTTCCTGATTCATTGCATTAAGATGTAGTAACAGCCAGAAAAGTAATGTTGATCACAATATTATATCAATTCAAATTCATTGTGATGTGCATAATCACCATAAGTGATGCTATCCATCAATTTCAGTGTCAATCTTAAGAACTAGTAAAAATCACAACACTTAGAGCGTTCGGTTGTAACAAAATTTACAAGCAGAATCACAAAAAGGACAACAGTAGCAACATACTTGGAGAACATCAACCAGATGTTGTTTTAAGATTTTTAAATAATGGCTAATTTTTTATCATGATTTTAAAATGTCATTTATAGTTAAATTCATTCTACCCTCCCCCTTGCCTTTTTATTTTATTTTTGCAACCACCCTGTGAGATAGTTTAAATTCAGAGACAGGGGCTGACTTTATCCCAGTCCTAGTCCAGTACTCTTAACCATTGCACCGTACTAGCTCTGCTTTTTTAGGGCCTTTCCAGAAAGCAAAATAGAAACACAAACTATTTTTCTTTGTGTTTTCTGTGCTCCTGATAATCTGCATATGCACTGTTGTGCCCCCATAGAATTGGTGGGGATATTTGACACTAACTTTTTAAAGAAAAAACAACAAAAAAAGCGGGGAGGTGTGTGCTGCTGGAATGTAGAGCAGGAGTAGCCAATGTGATGCCTCCAGATGTTAGACTAAACCATCCATCATTCCTCAAATGGCCAGGGCAGATGGGAGGTGGAATCCAAAAACATCTGGAGGGCAGAATGTTGGTTTCTTCTGATATTTGGGAAATTACACAAACTTAAAAATCAATGGTGGGGGTAAAGGAGAATAAATGTAATAGCCTTGTTATTTTGTGTCCCTTCTTTTAAAGGTTGCATGGGCACTCCCAAACTTGAGCATTCTGTGAACCACCCTGAGATCTTATGATAAAGGGCAGTCTAGTCTAATAAATAAAAATAAATAATAATAATAATAATAATAATAGGAAAAGGGGCTTTAAAATAGATAATTTCTGAAGCTGTAGCTGAAGTGAGTTAGATGAATTATTAAGTGCTAAAGCTGTGCCCTTGTTTGTCTTTCAGATACCTTCTTGAACAGAGAGATGTTGAAATCAATGTCCGGGATAAATGGGACAGTACCCCTTTGTGAGTGCTTTGGCCTTGAGACATACCTGCTGTTTGGTAACTTATACAGGATTTAAAGAAATGCTTTCAGGCATTGCAACGGTTCCTCATTTTACTTCTGTTGTTGTGTTCAAAAAAGAAAAGATTTTTTTCTTATATCCTTCTCCTACATTCTGCTCCCCATTGTCTCAAGTTTTCAGTGTTCCCATGCTGTTTTTTGTTGACAAGACCTGCTGTTGGAAATAATTTTCCTCATTCAGAACAATATTCTGGAAGGCAGTTGAATGCCTGCCACTGCTTTTGGGATAATTTGTGGCAACCATTTTACTAGCATTTACTAGCATTCTAAGAAGAGGCCTGTTCCAATTGTGCCATTGGCTCATCTTGTCTAGCTCTGGTTAGCCGTAATGTTCTGGGAAGATTGCAAACAGGGCATGAAGACAATAGTCTTCTCTTGTTTGTCCCCAACATATGTTCATCAGCACTGTGCTACGTCTGTCATAAAAGAAAGTGTAGAATGGGAATTCCTGGAGTTATACAATGTGTCCTTGGAATACTGTCATGTCAGCCTTTATATGATTGCATTGGCTGCTGATCTATTTCCACATAAAATTCAAGGTACTGGATTTTATGTTGAAATCCCTAAGCATCTTAGGACCTAGGTTACTTTTCCTGCATGAACTTTCCTATCACCTGTGATCACTGCTGGAGTTCTATCGCCTTCTGAAGTGAGGTGGGTGAGAATTGGGAAAGGGATATTTTTCATTTTGCTATCTCCAGGGAGGCCCACCTAGCACTAACAAGTCTGTCTTTACAGTGGCAGATGGAAGACTTTTTATTCACCCACACCTTTTAGTGTCAACTTTTAGAAGTTTTTAAAAATCTGGGATTGGGTTTCACATGAGAGTTACTGCTGCCTTTATCTCGCTAATGGAAACTGCTCTGAAAGTCTTGACTAAAAGAGCAGGATGTAGATACTTGCAGTAGAAATAATAAGCATGTACCCTAAAGTTCTTGTTGGTAAAGCTATCATACAGTGTGGGGCTGGTGTGCAGATTTCACCTCTCTCAATGTTGTCCCATAGAACTTGATGGGAGCACAGAAAACCATGGCAGCTCTGTTTGCATGGTCCCACCACTTCATCTGCATAGCCCTAGTCCACATCTCTTTTTTTCTACTTGCACATGAAGCAAGTGCATATCTCATCACTAGAAAAAGAGTAGGAAAAGACTCTTGTTCTCCTGTCACAACAGAAAGAAGTGAGAATGCTATGGAGAGGACTGGATCAATTTCTTGTAAGGAATTAACACCATGGGGGGAGCCAACGTGTTGCCCTCCAGATGATGTTGGACTACAACTTCCATCATGCCAACCATTGGCCATGCTGCTGGGCTGCTGCGAGTTGCACTCCCAACAACAACCGGAGGGCAACACATTTGCTGTCCCAACCTAATGTGATTTTAGGATCTTAATTTGATTGCAAAGTTGTTGCTGTGGGAGGACTTTTGAAGGCCTAAGCAAAACTTAGAAGTTTTCATTTCTAAGTGTCTCTTCCTTAACTCCTTCCTTGTGTTAACAGGTATTATGCTTGTCTCTGTGGACATGAAGAGCTTGTACGGTACCTTTTAGCCAACGGTAAGAAAAACTGATATGCTTCTTCTCCTGGAGACTGTGTGCCCAATATATATGGTCACCTGTGTGTCTCTAGAATTGTCACTGAAGGTACACCAGAATTAAAACAGTATAATCCTGCTCTGATGGGAAACTGCGTAGCTGCTTTTGACTTGTTATGCTAATCAAACAGCTAGAATCTTATTTTGCAAGGAAAACTTTTCCTCTCATGGTAGGGTGTTAGTACAGGGCTCAGTTTTTTACAAGTTTGTAGTACTAGCCCTAGCGTGACATTAAAATTGGATCTTAGCCAATGGGGAGAGCTGCTATTTATAATCTAGTCTGCTTGTTGCCATTTTGTTTAATAAAATGCACCTAAAAGTAAATGTCCATTTGATACATTTTATAAATGCTGTAAGCCACCCAGAGTGGCTGGGGAAACCCACCACCATCATCATCATCATCATCCTTATTATTATTCTCATTTTTTACTTAAAAAAGCAAAAGTTAAGGCTCCTTGTTGGTACATTTAATATTTCTGTTCTCATCATAGCACCCAGCAGGACAAAAATAAATGGATTTAGTGTTTGGCTTTACTAGAAGGAATAAATTCACCTGTAATACACTGAATCAGAAGCTGCCACCATTTATTGAGTGACTAGTAGGAACAGTTATCACCAGGAATATGTGCTTTTGCTTGCAGATCTATCTAAGGTTACCAAGCAACAAGTCTGCCAGCATCCATTCTTGAACCACCCAGCTCCCAAGGGCATTATTGCGCTGTTTCTTAGTAACTTGGCTAAAAGGACAAAGGCAATAATGTAGGGCAGAGCTTTCCAAACCTTTCATGTTGGTGGTACACCTTTTAGACATGGAAGATTTCACGACACAATAATTCAGTTTTACTAGCAAACAAGAGGTTAAACTAACCCCTTTCCAGCCCTGGGAGCACCATGGGGAGCATTCATGTGACTCACCTACACACTGTAGCCAACACACTAATGTGTCGCGACACACAGTTTGGAAAACTCTGATGTAGAGTGAGATAAGCTTAGTTCTCTCACCCACACCATCAAAATACATTGATTTCATTTAATCAATGTTAGGTCTGTTGTTTAACAGGTACAAAGAATATAAATCCAGTCAGAGAAATAAAACAAAATCATGGTTTCTAACTTTATTTATCAGAATATTTATAAACCACCAACACAGTTATTGTTGAGGTGGTATACAATACAGTCATTGAAAATAACAAAATTGTACAATTATAAAATCATAAGATGACCCAGGCTGAATCAGATTAAGTCTTTAAAAACACTTGGTGAACCAAATATATTTTCAGCAGGTGACAAAACATCAGGATTGTAGGCGCCTTTCAGATTTCCATAGGAACAGCATTCCAAACTTGGTATTAGATCATAATTCATAGCTTACAGCTAAAGCAAATAATAATCCTTCTAGGGATAAGAAATCCAAATCATGGTTTGGTGGGGTAATGTTGAATTTGGTAAGCATAGCTTGTCAGTGAACAGTAGCTACATGCAGACTCTATTAGAAATGGGTATATTCCAACCAATGCAGGCACAGACTTGAGAGAGAATTATATTGAATTTGGACAATAAATTTTGTATTCCTAACTGTAGTTAAACACACAATCAGAAAGTTGTTTTAATTTTTCTGGGAAGCTTTTTAGCTTTCTTCTAACTTGTACAGTGGTGCCTCGCAAGACGAAAAGAATCCGTTCCGCGAGTCTCTTCGTCTTGCGGGTTTTTTCGTCTTCCGAAGCAAGCCCATTAGAGGTTTAGCAGCTTAGCGCTACAGTATTAGAGGCTTAGCCGGCTTAAAGATCAGCTGATAAGCGGCTTAGCATCAGCTGTTAAGCGGCTTAAAGATCAGTTGATAAGCGGCTTAGCATCAGCTGTTAAGCGGCTTAAAGATCAGCTGATAAGCGGCTTAGCCATCAGCTGTTAAGCGGCTTAAAGATCAGCTGATAAGCGGCTTAGCATCAGCTGTTACCCGGCTAACAGATCAGCTGATAAGCGGCTTAGCCATCAGCTGATAAGCGGTTTAGCGGCTTGGGAAAAAGGGGGAAGGAAAAAACCCGCAGGAACTCGCAAGACATTTTCGTCTTGCGAAGCTAGCACATAGGAAATTCGTTTTGCGAAGCACCTCCAAAATGGAAAACCCTTTCGTCTAGCGGGTTTTCCGTCTTGCGAGGCATTCGTCTTGCGGGGCACCACTGTATTTTACTAAATATTTGCAGTGTACTTTAAAAGAGATTCTTTTCTCTGTTTTTTAAATTGTAATAACCTCTCTCCAAGGAGCTCAATGTGGTGTTCATGGTTCTCCTCCTCAGTTTATCCTCTCATCAGCCCTGGGAAGCAGAAAATGACTGTCCCAAGGTCACCCAGCAAGCTTCATGGCTGAGTGTGGATATGAACCCTGACCAACCCTGATCCAACACTCTAACCACAATCCAGCTCATAGTGTAGCACACTGGATCACAGTGGTATGGGTGTAGCAGAAATGTTTTCTGTGAAATATTGTAGAATGTATGCAGCTTCATGCAGCTACTTTCTTTTAAAACTGAGTAGTCTTGCAGTTGTCCCAAGGCAGAAATTAAGAGCCTGGATATTAGGGTTGAATGTTAATTTTACTTCATGAGCTCTGCTTTAGACCAGAAGTACATATGAAAGTACAGTGGTACCTCAGGTTACATACGCTTCAGGTTACATACGCTTAAGGTTACAGACTCCGCTAATCCAGAAATTGTACCTCGGGTTACGAACTTTGCTTCAAGATAAGAACAGAAATCGTGTTCTGGCGGCGCGGCGGCAGCAGGAGGCCCCATTAGCTAAAGTGGTGCTTCAGGTTAAGAACGGACCTCCGGAACGAATTAAGCTCTTAACCTGAGGTACCACTGTACTTGTAACGAGGGATGAAGGTTGCTCCAGTTGTTTAGTGGAAGCAGTTCTTAGTACTGTTCTGCAGAGAAAGACAATATCACATATGTAAATGATATGTCTCTTGTAATACGGCTTCAAACCTAATTGCCAGTTGGTATTGGTTTACAGGTGCCAAATGTGAAGCAAACACCTTTGATGGCGAGCGTTGTTTATATGGGGCCCTGAGTGATGCTATTCGGCGGGTGTTAAAGGAGTACAAGCAGATCACAGCAAAGTGCATGAAAAGAGACTACTATGATGTCTTCCTTCAACGGTAAAGAGAGTAGGGATGCCTTCATTGCAGGTGGTTAAGCATTAAAATGCATCTGTTTCCATTGGACTGCCACGCCCACTCCTTGGATGGCTGACCCCTCTTGCTTGTTTTCTTTCAGGAGATTCAAAAGATTTATTATCCTCTTGTCTTATGGAGGCTTGCTTGTGATGATGACAAGTCTGTCAAGCCACTGTTAGTACATAGTAATGTGAAAGTTTCTATATATATATTTAATTCCCTCCCCACTGAAAAAACTTCTCATACGGTATACATGTTAAACCTGATTAATCACAATCTACTGCGTAAGTGGCAGAAGTAAATAAGACTACTTACCGTATTTTTCGTCCCATAGGACGCACCTAGTTTTTTGGGGGGGAAATAAAGGAAAAAATGTTTTCCTTTATTTCTCCCCCCAAACCAGGTCGGGGAACAGCGGGATGGCGGCGCTGCACCTCCCCGCTGTCCCCCGAGCTTGTGGGGCTGGCCGATGTCTGCCTGGCGCGCGGGGCGCTCTGCTTCAGGGCGCGCCGGGCGGCAGGCTGCTATCCGCAGCGTGGGGAGCCCTGCGGGAACTCCCGCGGGCTCCCCAGGCTTGCTGATAGCTTCCTGAAGCCTGGAGAGCGAGAGGGGTCGGTGCGCACCAACCCCTCTTGCTCTCCAGGCTTCAGCGAAAGCCTGTATTCGCCCCATAGGACGCACACAGATTTCCCCTTCATTTTTGGAGGGGGAAAAGTGCATCCTATAGGGCGAAAAATACGGTAATATATGTGTGTGTAGTCCTGTTTATGGAATGCTGTCCCCAGGGAGGCTCACTTGGTGCCATCATTATATAGCTTTAGGTGTCAGGCAAAAACATTACTTTTTCTCCATGGCGTTGAATTATCATTTACTCTGGCCTCCTTGAGTGGTTCAGATTCTGCCTTTTTAAGAACAAGTTTGTCATTTCATTTTTTCATTGTTTTTCTTTGTGCTGGTTTTAATGTATGTTTTTCTTTGTTTATATATTGTAAGTCACTGTGAGTTACCTTGGTAAGAAAGGTACCAATTAATAAATAATAAAGCATTATTTTGGAACCTTGATTTTGAAGGAACAGTTCGCAGTTGCTGAGTCCTCCAGTCCAGTTTTTTCAAGACTTCTTGTTCTCATTCTCCTTGCAGACTTCTGGAACAGGGTTACCAGAGTGACATTGTATTCATTGTGCATGGGAAGTCTTTCTGTGCCCATCGCTGCATTCTCGGTGCCCGGAGTGCATATTTTGCAGAAATGTTTGAGACCAAGTGGAAGGGGAAGAACATCATAGCATTAAAGCATCCATTGGTGAGAAGACTCAAGCTTTGTTTTAACTAGAATAGTGTCTGCAGTTGACGCTTGCTTTATGGTTTCATGTGTTAAGTCTAGACCCTGATTTACACATGCATCAGAATGAGACAGTAGAGTGGACTGTACCACTTAAGACTGTGGGTGAGGATGTTATTTCAAATACATTAAAAAACATAAAAATCAACTAACTAAAAAACCCATAAAAAGCAACTAACTCCCTGAATTGGCTCATTGAGAGGAAGTGGTTCTGGGCTAGTCCTCTCACTGCCATTCTCCTTTTTTCTTTTTTACTTGCAGTGAATATTGTTACATTTGGAACACTCAAAATGGGCTTTTCCTACTTGCAGTCTGAATGGTACAGTCCATTCTGCCTCTTTATTCTGCTACACGAGTACCAAGCCTGATGTTACTAACTAATCAAGCATCAAGTTTCTTTAAAACAGTTTTACTTGGATTATCTCAGCAATGTTGATCTGGAACATCGTATTGAGATTTCATTGTGACTACTGTATTGAATCGACCCTGGCTGTTCCTACTGGTAAACATAACACACAAGCTATTCAACTTCTCACAAAACAGGTTTTTGTTTTTTTAAGCTAACTATATAAGTGGCTATCACAACTTGTGGTCAGTTCCACAAGTTCATTACTTTTTGAGTGACATTATTTAATGTTGTCACATGGTGCGAACTGAGCTGGCGTTGAGGAAAAGGGACATACAGCTAAAATCTTGCCCTTTTTGTTGCTTGCCTACTGCACTACTGCAGAATCTCATGGGCCCTCATTACCTTCTAGTTCGAATATAGCCGATGGGGTACCCTCTGGAAGTTGTTGAGGACTTCTGATCATTGACCTGACAGGCTGGGGCTGATGGGAGTTGTAGTCCAAAACACCTTCGCTACTGCTGTTCTAGCTTGTTTCTCACTTATATCAGTGTATAGTTCAAGCCATGGCAAAATGCAACCTCTGTAAATAACCACTTTCATTCATTATATAGATCAACCCAGCTGCCTTTGGTTCCCTTCTCCAGTACCTCTATACAGGTAAATGTGGGCATGTGCTGCATTGTAGTGCTTACAATTGCTGCATTTGGATTCAGAATAACATCTTGCGTATATCTATATACTTTGCATAATTATTTCAAAACTTAGCTTGTCAGAAATGGCCTGGGTGACATACTTTTTCTCTTTCTCTTGCAAGGACTATACTGATGGAAAGCATTAGATACTGGGGCATAGAATAACAGCATTGATGGAGAGGCATGGAGCTGTGTTGGACCTTGCTAGAGTGAGATTATGGGGGATTCAGGTTCTTTTCTCTACCATCGTGTTTTTGCTTTGGGGTTAGCCACTCACCCACCCAAGCAACAATATTTTATTGCCCGAAAACATTGTCTCCCACCACCCAGCTGATGGGTTTGTTTGTTTGTTTTGCAAGTGCTGTATCAAATGCAATAAGGGCACTGGCATTGCTAGTAATGAGTGACACAATTTTGTGTCTGGACATATTCCCGGTATGCCACACTGTTGCTCTAGTTAATTTTACGTCTAAAAGCGCCATGGCATTAATCCCCTTTATTTCAGCAACAGTTACTTGAAATGTTGAGGCTTCAATTCTAAACACACTTGTTTGGGAGTAAGTCTTTCTGCAATTCAATGAGACTTACTCCTGAGTAGACGTGCAAAGGATTCTGCTGTCTAGAAGATTTGTTTGCTGGTTGGGCATTCTAACCAGGCACAGACTGTGCTAACATGTTTTTCTACCTCCATTTGCATATGCGAATAGGGTTCCTCCCAATTCCAGAGCACAGCTCCAGATTGGAGCTACTAAAGGAATAGCAAAGAATAAAAATTTGTCTTATTTTTGTTTGTTTTTAGTGAACAAAGGTCCTTATCCTTCACTAGACAATGACCATACGTTTCTGGATATTTGTGCTCAGGAATATGTATGAATCTGGCTATTGAAGTTGCTCCTCTTTTTGCTTTTATAAGACAGGAGTACCTTGAAATACAGAAGGATACGGAAAGTGACACATGCATCTTTATTTAACATGTGGGACACGTGGATTAAACCTATAGAAGGGATTCTGGATTAGCCTTCTATACATTTGCTCATTGCTTTGGGCAAATGTATGTGGGAAAGTTGCATACCAATTGAAATAATAGCTACAGTATTGTAGTTATCAGAATTGATAGACTTGTGTGTAACATTTCTTGGCTTTGTCATATGTAGACATGGCATCCATATTTTATTTATTTGGGTGATAGTCAACCAAATTGTGTATCTATAGTCTGTTTACTTAGGGCAGCATGTATCTCTATCATATTCTGTGTAGACTAATTGCAATTAATGGACTCAAGTCCACTGATTTTAATAGGCCTATACTGGTATTGCTAACATTGGATGTCACCCTTACTACAATTTTGTACTTCTAATCCATTCAAGGTTGTTTGCAATCTAAAATAATAAAGATACAAAAGGTAAAAAAATCTGAATTTTCTCAGGAATTATATTTGAAAAGCAACATACAATATGGCTCAAAAGAAGTTGCTGTACTAGCTGTACAAGTGATGTTCTCAAAAATATAAATGCAGTCCTTCCTTAAGTCACAGGGGGGTGCTGAAACATAAATTTGCAGCTGTGAATGTAAGGATGAATTTTACGTGTTGGTGAATAAATAATAGGGAGAATTGAAAGGGTCATTTGCTTTCTTTTCTTTTCTTTTGCCAGGCCGTTTAGACATAGATGTAGAATATGTGAGCGACTGCAAAAGATTGGCAAAACAATGTCGGCTCCAGGATCTCATCGAAGACTTGGAAACCAAGTGTAAAAAGGTGCATGAATTTGGTAAGGTCCAAATTGCTCAGACTGGCACTTTATATAAGAAAGTGGAAAGCTGCCTTTTTTCTGAACAGCTTATATTAATTAGCTAAAAATTCTAGTAATAACTTTTTTCTGTTCCGCTGTTCTCCTAAAGTGCTCAAAACAATCACAGTACACCATGCAGATAAGCAATTAACAATATGAAATATTCTTTAACATGGTATTATTAGTAGTAGTAGTAGTAGTATTTCCATTTCTATACTGCTTTATAATTTAAAGAAAAAATTCTCAAAGTGGTTTACAACAGGTTAAAACATCAAATAAAACAGAATAAAGCATTAATGAAGAGAGTAAAAAAAACAAGTATACATTCAAAGCAATGTAATCAACAGGAAACTAAAATATTATCTTAAAGACTTCAAAATAAAATATTACAAAATAAGTCAACTACAGAACACACATTTAGTGTAGTGAAGTTAACAAAAAAATTATCCTAGAATATATGAATATTTGGAAGGGACTCAAGGGTCATCTAGTCCAACCCCCTGCAATGCAGGAATTTCAGCTAAAGCAAACCTCTAAGGAAGGTGAGTCCACAGCCTCGTGAGGGAGACTGTTCCACATTTCAAAACTTAAACATTTCAAAAGAAAACATTATTATAGGAAGTTAAATATAATATGCACGTTTAAACCTGCATAATTATCAAGAGAATAAAATATTGTCATAAGCTTAGAACATACCTGCTGTATTGCTGCCAGTCCTGCCCATGATGGTTGGCAGGTGTGGAAGCTCAGGCTTGATGACTTGTACTAAGAGACAGCTAAGATGGTCTCTGGCCTTTTCAGCAGCCCTAGCTTTTGTAGCTGGAGTCAGTCCTCCCTGCCCTCCCAGGCCAGGTGGAAAAGGGCCTGCAAGGCAGGGAGCAGGTCTTCCAGGATTCACAGCCAAGATAGGTCTCCAGGATGGTAAAGTCAGTCAAGAGCAAGATCTAAAATTACACAGTGAAAGCCCAACCAAACCAAAATGTATTCAAATACATAGTGAAAAGATTTCCTGATTGAGGTATTCTAGAATTGTAGCACCCACAGTAAATGTCCTGCCTTCTGTAAGTTACCCAATGGATATTTTGAAGTGGTACAGAGAAAAGGGACTTCAAAGCTGATTTTAAAGCCCATGCAGGCAACAAAGTAAGTGTTCCTAATAGTTATTTGGTCTTAGGCCTTTAGTCTTCAATGTCCCACATGCTGTACTGCAGTAGTCTATCTGGGAAGTAATTAAAGTGTAAATAACAGGCCAAGTCTGTTGCTTTTAGAGACAGTGTAGGTCATGCACTAGCATGGGCAAGGTCTTCAGGCTTGTAGGTGCAGTGACTAAGGAGAGGTAGGATAGATTCACGTGCCCTTGATTTGGTGACAAAGCTCTGTCTCTATTGTACACCAAGTTACTGTGCTATCCATATACTAATGGGTGAGCCCTCTAATGGGACATTTAATTGTTTTTAGCATAAGCCTTTGCAGCATTCTTGTTTTCTAGAAAGAGTTGTGATACGTCATAACAGGGACACATGGGTATGGTCCAGCAATCTGCTATTTGAATATTACCTGCCTAAGGACCATTTCCAAGATCTGGAATATAAATACTTGGAATAATAAGCAACTCACTTGTAAATAGCTTAGTTATCCATCTTTGTACAGTAGTGCTATATTCTGAAATGGCACATTATTTGACACTGTCATGGTTTTAAATGTATTCTATTGCTGTAACCCACTCTGGGATCATGAATCAAGGAAGAACAGACTAGAAATCAAACTTAAATATTTAGTGGGGCTCTGGGCCATTTCTAAACTGGATGATATAGGTTGCAGAAAATGAGGCAAGCAAAAAATACGTCTCTAAACTAGATACGATTAATCTTGAACTGGATACTTGAGGAGCTCCCTCCCAGACTTAAATATATAGGTTGCTTGCTTGTTTTGTAAGGTTAACTGTGTAGATATCAAACAATAATGTATTGTAGTAATGCTTGGTAGATGAAGATAGATATTTCACTGTATACCCTGTAGTGTATGTTTTCTGCAAGTGTTAAGAATAGTTGAATTTCATATCCCATGAGCATAGCTTAATAAAAACCATGCTCTCATCACCTTAAAGAGATAATGAATAACTAATTTAGCTATATTTGTGTTAATGCTTGATTACATTTCAGCATCTCTAATTACACAGTTTTTCAGTTCTTTTATTTGAGGTTAAGCTGATTGATGCTAATAAACTCTTATTCCCAGAAATGCATAGTTATGATTTCTTCATGGATGGAAAAAGTCAGGTGGTTAACACAAGTTGCTTTGCTGCCTTGGTTGTGTACTAAGACTACCACCTGGTGTCATCCCTGCCCTCCCCCCCCCCACACCAAGGTCCATTGCACCAGTGGAAGTTGCTTTCTCTCTTGGACACTTTGAAAGGCTAAGGCTGTCGTTTGTTTCGCAGCACTCATATTAGACATCAGAATTTAAATAGTTGGCCAGGCAGATCATAAATTTACACTTCTTTAGGATTATTTTGTACTCTGCTTTTCACCATTTGTGAGAAACCCTTAAGTGATAAAAGGAACAGTTTAGCTTGCTTCTATATGCTGCTGTCTTCAAAACTGAAGGTGCTAGAGCATCCTTTATTGACAATCCCCTCTTAACATCTTCTTCTGCCACTGCTGCCTTTAGTACTGGTAACACTTAAGCTTTGACCCTGGCATAGCTAGCCATGTTGCAAAAACTACAAAATGTACTATACTCCATTCAGCTTCCCACTTTTCCCACTGGGGAAGAAGGAAGCATTTGGACTGGTGTCCTAGAGGCACAGGGGATGCGGGTGGCGCTGTGGGTTAAACCACTGAGCCTAGGACTTGCTGATCAGAAGGTCGGCGGTTCGAATCCCCGCGACGGGGTGAGCTCGGTCCCTGCTCTTGCCAACCTAGCAGTTCGAAAGCACGTCAAAGTGCAAGTAGATAAATAGGTACCGCTCCGGCGGGAAGGTAAACGGCATTTCCGTGTGCTGCTCTGGTTCGGCAGAAGCGGCTTAGTCATGCTGGCCACATGACCTGGAAGCTGTACGCTGGTTCCCTCGGTCAATAAAGCGAGATGAGCGCCGCAACCCCAGAGTCGGCCACGACTGGACCTAATGGTCAGGGGTCCCTTTACCCTTTACCTTTTACCTAGAGGCACAAGTCCCTTGCTTTCATGCATCTGGACCATTGTTGGTGCTAAATGAATGTTAATTGTTGCTGCTGGCTTGTCCATTTTCTTGACATTTTATAAATGTGAGTTAATCTTACTGACGCTCCTGTCACCAAAAACTATTTACTTTTGACTGACCACACTCACATTTGTATTACATCTGTTCTGAAATCTTAATTAGTGCAATATTGCTGTCATAGATTGAAAGATACAGCCCATCATAGTGGTCCATTTCCCAGAAACTTGTGATAAAGTGCTTTACCAAAACTCATGACACAAATTGTTCTTTTAAAATCTCTCTGTGCCATAGAAAACACATCTGGAGGGGGGGCGGTCTTGAGAGGAGGAGGCTGCCTCACTTAGCTGTTCTGTTCTTCAGCTTGCACTTCATCTGCGTTATCTAAGCACTTCAAGCAGAAAATTGCTATCTTCTAAATGAGCTAGAAACTTCAAACAAAAGCATCTCCATATACAGCCCTCTGGCAATGTTCTTTTTCCTCTTCCAGAAAAGAATATCTTGCTGCTTCTTAGTGTCTCCTGGATAGGAAATATAGGCTGACTCAGTCCTCCTTGAAAGCAAATTGCATATGCTTTTGGCTTCTGAGTTTAAATTGGCACCAAGCTGCCAGTTTCTCTTTGGAACAGTTCTGTGAATGTACTTGAAACAGATTCTACAAGTTAAAACTACAATAAACAAATTGCTTGCACCCACCAAGTAGGGGAGAAATCTGTTCCTAACAACACACACATGCCCAAAGGCTAGGTAATCTGTTAGGTTGATGACTGAAATAGTGCTGAGCCTTAACTTTGTTCGCATTGAGCCTGTCACAATTGCAAAACATAAGGAGAGGATGTTAACTTTCATTTGTAAAGGAACCAGACTTGCCACTAGGCACACAGGCATTCATTTCAGTCTCTTTGCATCCGTCTTAAGAACATGCTTTGTCAGGCCAATAGTCCATCTAGCAGTATTTTCCACAGTGGCCAACCAGATGTTTCTAGGTAGTCCACCAGCAGGATGTGAAGTCAACAGCTGCCTTCTGCCATGATGATGATGATGATGATGATAATAATATAACAACAACACAACAATAATTCTATTATTTATACCCCGCCCATCTGGCTGGGTTTCCCCAGCCACTCTGGGTGGCTCCCAACAAAATATTAAAAACACAATCAAACATTAAAAACTTCCCTAAACAGGGCTGCCTTCAGACGTCTTCTAAAAATCAGGTAGTAGTTTATTTCCTTGACATCTGATGGGAGGGCGTTCCACAGGGCGGATGCCACTACCGAGAAGGCTCTCTGCCTGGTTCCTGTAGCCTCAATTCCCACATTGAGGGAACTACCAGAAGGCCCTTGGTCCTAGACCTCAGTGTCTGGGCTAAATGATGGGGGTTGAGACGCTCCTTCAGGTATACAGGGCCAAGGCCATTTAGGGATTTAAAGGTTTGCACCAAAACTTTGAATTGTGCTTGGAAACGCACTGGGATCCAATGAAGATCCTTTAGGACCGGTGATAAATGGTCTCAGCAGCCACTCCCAGTCACCAGTCTAGCTGCTGCATTCAGGATTAGTTGTCGTTTCCGGGTCACCTTCAAAGGTAGCCCATGTAAAGCATATTGCAGAAGTCAAAGCGGGAGATAACCAAAGCATGCCCCACTCTAGTGAGACAATCTGTGGGCAGGTAGGGCCTCAGCCTGCGAACCAGATGGAACTGGTAGACATCTGCCCTGGACACAGAACTGACATGCGCCTCCATGGACAGTTGTAGGTCCAAAATGACTCCTAGGTTGCTCACCTGGTCCTTCAGGGGTACAGTTACCCTATTCAGGACCAGGGAATCCTCTACACCTGCCCACCCCTGTCCCTGCAAAACAGTACTTAGCCGCCATCCTCCAACCTCCTCCAAACACTCCCACAAAGCCTTTACTGCCCTCACTGGTTCTGATTTAAAAGAGGTAGAGCTGGGTATCATCCACATACTGATCAACACCCAGCCCAAACCCCCTGGTGATCTCTCCCAGCAGCTTCATATAGATGTTAAAAAGCATGGGGGAGAGGACAGAACCCTGAGGCGCCCCACAAGTGAGAGTTCAGGGGTCTGAACACTCATCTCCCAACACCACTTTCTGGACACGGCCCAGGAGGAAGGAGTGGAACCACTGTATAACAGTGCTCCCATTTCCCAGCCCCTCTAGACGGTCCAGAAAGATGTCATGGCAACCAGTATTCAGCAATCATCCTGCCTCTGAAATTTGGAGTTTCCAGTTACGCAACACATTTGTTTAATCGCCTTCTGAATCATCACTACATCCTGTGGCACTGAATTCCATAAACAATTCCTTGTTTTCCTTTTTCTGTCCTGAATTCATTGGGTGACCTTGAGTTCTAGTGTTGCATGGCAGTAATAAGTCCTTGTGGGAGTATCCGCCCAATATCTTCTACAGTGGTACCTCAGGTTACATATGCTTCAGGTTACATACGCTTCAGGTTACAGACTCCACTAACCCAGAAATAGTACCTCGGGTTAAGAACTTTGCTTCAGGATGAGAACAGAAATCATGCTCTGGTGGTGCAGCGGCAGCAGGAGGCCCCATTAGCTAAAGTGGTGCTTCAGATTAAGAACAGTTTCAGGTTAAGAACAGACCTCCGGAACGAATTAAGTACTTAACCCGAGGTACCACTGTACAGTGAAAAATTCATGCATCTTCTTTGAAATTTCCCTATGCTCCTCCTAGCAATCCTTTCACTCTTCTGTCATCTAGTTGCCCAACTGTCTCCCTAGATTTTCTGCTCCTATTTAAAAATATGTCTTAACACTTTTATAATGAGCTACAAATTCTCTTTTCCGTGCCTCATCAACTTCCACTTGTTTTGCCTGAGTTTATGCTGTCCTCATTTGAACTACACACAACTTCTTAAGGGAAGCCTCAATCAATCAATCAATCAATCTGTGTGATGTGCTTTCTCCAGAGCTGCTTTTAATGGGGATTAACATCCTAAAGAAACTTGAGCCCCTTGATTTTCCCTTCCAATGAATACCCTCATTCTTGCAAAATTAAGTTAATTCATGGTCAGATGTATCCCCCAAGAACTTCAGGCACTTTACTCAGTTTAGACACAGTTTAGAAGTGGACATGGGATCATACTTGGCAGTATTTGCTAAATAAAAATGATCCCAGTACAATATGTGTTTTACCATTAAACACATGTTGCTTGAGTGTCCACACTCTTCAGCTGCTTTCCAATTTTTAATGCTCATCCAGACACCTCATAGAATCATCTGCACCAGGGTTTTTACTCTCTGTTTCTAGCTGGAAATACTCATTTACATGTGTTTATAAGTTTCAAAACAATAGGTTGGTTGGGGTTATTGAGACTTATTGAGGACTGAAGGAAGCTTTTTATAGAGATTAAGTGTTCAGTATAATATGATCTAGTGGAGGCATAGGCAAACTCGGCCCTCCAGATGTTTTGGGACTACAACTCCCATCATCCCTAGCTAACAGAACCAGTGGTCAGGGATGATAGGAGTTGTAGTCCCAAAACATCTGGAGGGCCAAGTTTGCCTATGCCTGATCTAGTGACTCTGTGCCAGCAGATCTAATCTATCTCCCTTCCTCTTCTGTCTTCTACCATAACGTAACCCTGATGTAGCTCCTCACAATTAACAAAAGGAGGGGCAGGGAATTGTCATTTCCTGAGATTCCTGTTGAGAAGTTGGTACTCTCTCATGTGAAGGAAAGAGTGAGAAAGAAACAGTCTTTCCTCCTACCCACCACCTTCACATGTTGGAGCAAAGTTTCAAGTGGCAAAAGGTATAATTTCATTATCTGCTGACAGTAATGGTGTATCTGTTGAAAGGCATTATATTACCTGTTTAGAATCACACTTCTGAGGCATATACAACTCGTTAATTTGGGGCAGAAGGGTTGGGAAGAAAGATATTGTACTGTGGCAGTCTTCTTTCACCCACCACTCAATGTTGTGGTAAGATGACATCCCTGTGTAATCTGTAAAATGTCAAGAGCGGCAATTTATTATGGCAATGTGAGTCACCTGAGATTTGGAGACAAGTTCTAAATCCATTGAGTCACGCTTGTCGTACCACCTCTTGTTCCGATGCAGACTTAACTTAGCCAGCTCAGGAGTAACTTCCTTTTCTTGCTGAACTCCCAAGTGTAAACCAATGAAGACTTTTGGTATATTGCTAACTAGTTTATCATGGCATGAGCTTTCAGCTCTTGGTTACAAAACCTCTTTCCACGATAAACCACTTAATACCAAAGGTGCTGAAATAGCAGTTTTGTTCATATTATTATAAACAAGTTCTCTGTATTAACAAAAGATATAAATAACATTCCTTAAAATAAAGACCACGTGAGCTGGGTATAGGAGGAGGAGACAAATAACTCTGTGTAATAATCACAAGCTGAAATCAATATGGCATCATAAATACATACTACTTGTTAATGATTTAGTATTGATCACAGCAGCTTGCTTTACTGTACCAAGCTATTCAGGTACTCCTTCTTCATACAGCAAGGCTTTGGAGACTCATAACATGTAAGGAACTATACAGTAAGGAACTATATATGTGTACATGCCAACAAGTGCCCAGACATGCACTAAATGACCACTTCTTCATCAACAGTTATTGATCTATTTCCCTTACTTTAATTCTTGAAATGGGTATGTAATATGAACAACAAGGAAATGTTCATAGATGATGAACAATGATGATGGCTGTGTTAATATGAACAACAAGGAAAAAGCAGCCAGGAGCCTCATACTTGCATGCTCCCTTCCCTCTCTCATAGCAGAGAGATGGATTTAAGCAGAACTTAGTTTCGCTTTCCACAAAACATGGCTTGTTTTTATGAGCTAGAGATTGTTCTTTAAAACAAGCTCTGGTTAGTCTTTGAACAAGCCAGCTTCAAACCATGGTTTATGAAACTACAGTTGTGTTATACTATAGTTTCCAGTTCATAGGTAAAGGTGTAAAGGTACCGCTGACCGTTAGGTCCAGGTGCAGACGACTCTGGGGTTGTGGCGCTCATCTTGCTCTATAGGCCAAGGGAGCCGACGTACAGCTTCCAGGTCATGTGGCCAGCATGACTAAGCCGCTTCTGGTGAACCAGAGCAGCATGCGGAAACGCCGTTTACCTTCCCACCAGAGCGGTACCTATTTATCTACTTGTACTTTGATGTGCTTTCAAACTGCTAGGTTGGCAGGAGCAGGGACCGAGCAACGGGAGCTCACCCCGTCGCGGGGATTCGAACCGCCGACCTTCTGATCGGCAAGTCCTAGGCTCTGTGGTTTAACCCACAGCGCCACCCGCGTCCCTTCCAGTGCCAGTTTCATTAACTGTACGATTTGAAGTTGGCTCAGAGCTTGTTTTAAACCATTATTTCTCATTCGTTCATATTGCCAAGTCAGGTTCCCTAGAAAGGGAAACTTAATTCTGATGAACTAATTCTCCAAACCATGCAGGAAAAGTGAGCATGGTAGCTCAAGGCAAGGAGAGGGGAATGTCTGATCGTCCCAATAGATCCTTCCTGCTCTTGGATTTTATGCTGAACCATGCTTTAGTGTTGTGTGCAAATTGGGCCATTATTTCCATATTTGTGAGACAGGCTTCCTTTAGCAGATTCAGTTAATTGCCAGGGCAGGTACAAGCTCCTTTCTGATCTCACCCAACATTGTTTTTGTGGTGTATTCCTCCCCCACCCCTTTGGACCATAACATCAAGTGCCAGCTTGTTTTCATGCAGTGCAGTGGAGTGGCTTGGTGCTCGTACAGTAAAGCAATCCTTTATTTCCTAAGAGGATTTGATCCCCTCAGCATTTATGAAGACCCATCCAACCCTAAGCCACCCAGAGTTTGGGAACGAGCAGCACCACTTGACTTTTTTATTATGATTATTTGTTGTCCTTATGCTAGGAGGGTGTTCAAGTATATTTTCCTCTTTTTGAAGAGAAGTTCACTATAGTAGTAATCCTACTTGGCATTCATATAGCCTTTTTGAGAATTTAGAGCACTCTGTTTTACATTCCTTCTGCAATCCTTGGAACAACCCCCAAAAGTGGGTCAGTGTGAGCCACCACACTACAGAGCTGAAGGCAGTGGCTTTTTCAAGGCCCCCACAGTGAGGGCTGATGTAAAATTGTAGCCAGAGTTTTTACAACTTGCATGTTTAACCAGTGCACATGAATGTTTTGTTGTGGTTTTAGCATGTAGGAGAGAGATTGGGAGTGAATGGTGTCCTTCCCAAAGAATCATGCTAAATGATGATAAGCTGCCCGATTTCTCTCTGCTCCCTGTAGATGTTGGTTCCCTAGGGTAGATAGAGGAGTTCTGTTTAAAGGCTTATTCCAGAAATGACTAAGCGGTTGCATGGCAATTACCAGGTCAGATGTGTTACAGTGTTTTTCTCTGAAACCATTTTCACATGTCCATGAACACCCCCAAAGAGGTCACTATGGAACAGGGATGCGAGGAACCTGAGGGCTTCCAGGCGTTGTTGGACTTCAACTCCCATAATCCCTGACTATTTGACATGCTGGTTGGGCTGATGGGAGCTGGAGTCCAGCAACATCTGGAGGGCACCCATTGGCTCTCCCACTTCTGATCTGGAAGCAGTTTCATATTCATTAACCATCTAAAGATGTGTAATTTAATACCAGCAACTTCATGGGGATGTGAATGCTGCTGAAGAGAACCATTCTTGTTTGTCTGCCTACCTCATGTAATCTGTTTAATGTATGAATGTGCGATGGGTGATATCAATAGAATTTGCCATTTTTAAAATGCACATGTTCGGTTGAATCACTACATGTTGTTGGGCACTGGTAAACTCCTCCCCCCATCTTTAGCTGTGGTATTGGTGGTGTGTGCATTGGTGCCTGATCACAGATATTAATTCGGCAGAGCATGTGCATACACTCTGGTCTTGTGCGGAAGATGGGCATGTGGGGAAGATGGCAAATAAGAACTTCCCTTTGGCTCTCAAGTTGCCTTTTTGGCCAACTAGTAGGCATGATTCCCCTTCCCCTCCTCCAAGCTGTGTAGTCATAAATCTAAATCACAAAATGCATGCAAATCTCTTACAAAGGGAGGCCTACTGCTCTGTGAAAGCAGTAACAGAAGCAGTCATGAGCATGAGTTTTGTGTGGGAAAATTCTACTTGTTTTTCTGTAGCCAGAGCTTTTCAAAGAAGGAGGAAAACATAATGCTTAGCAGTCTCTTCCATAATTTTTTTTAAATGCTTTATTTATTTGCCTAACATTTGCATATAAGGGGTGTGGGCCATCCTTGAATTTTAAAAACATCCCCAGATGTTTTTAAAACATTTATCCATCACATTCCCAAAGGGATGTCCATATAGTCTTCAGGATTCTATACTTTGGAAATTTTTTTTTTGCCTCTTCCAGTTTCTTCCAAGCCAGGGACCTGTGTGAAGGTGCTGACGATTGAGCCCCCAGGTAACTCGCGGCTACAGGAAGACCTGGCTCTGCTAGCAGACTGCGCCTTGCCAGCCGAACTCAGGGTAGGAAGTATATGTTTTTCCCTCCCTCTTCTTGCGGGGTCCTGCTATTTAAGCCCTCAGGAGTCCTGCACTTCTGCAGTTTGTTCTGGTTTGCTCTCTTTAGGCTGTGCAGCAGCCACTCCGCTAGTGTTGAACTTTGGCAGCTCCTGCTTCCATGGTGTCAGGGCACCAATCTTGCTGGATTCCCTTACATCTACTCCTTTCTGCTCCCTCTCAGGCATCCATGTTGCTGTGTGAAAGAGGAGATAGTTGCGCCGAATATCTGCATGGGAGCTTCCATGCTCCTCTGTACTTTTGGTACATGGCTGAAAGTGTGTGAGAGAGGTTCCCTCAATTTAAAAAATAAAAGACCGGGATGGTCTGCCTTGCTATGTCTGGGCTATTCCACTCTCTTACAGCCTGTTATTCTCCTATATTTGGTAGTGTGAAAGGGAAGTGGCAAATGCCATGCCTTGTTTGGTCCTGAAGCAGCCATTTGTCTTCTTCACTCTTCTTTGGGAGTCCAACATACTGTCGTCTCTCTCCATGAAGGAATACTCTAGATTAGGCCTGTTCCATTGTTGGTCTTCTGTAAGAGTGTGGCTAAACTATCTTGACGGTCTCAACTTTCAGGAGCGCCTATGACCGGAACATGAAATGTGGTGACATATAAGCTGGGCATTAATTAATAGCACTGCCCAGATCATTTTATTGTAGAAGTCCTCAACTTTTGGTCAAAAGGTCTTATTTTCATGGGAAAGTTTTTCTGGCCTCTAACGATATGAAAACAGTAAGGTGGGGGAGATAAGGGTGTGCGGCATGTATCTTGATCTTCTGGTTCTACTTGCTTTGGTGTTAGGAATGTGATTCTTGGATATTTTGGATTCTGAGTGCCAGATTGTCCTGCTTTATTGTTCCCTGGTGCAACATGGTTGCTTTTTTATGGCTTGGCACTTTGCCCATTGCAACATGGTGCAGATCATGGATGCAGGAAGTGCTCTTGTGCTTAGGCTTTCTGTTGCACATTCTTGAATTCCATAATGACCCACAGGGAAAATTTTGGGCGCCCAAATGTAGACTGAGTTCAGTCCAGTGCCCATGGGGAAGATGCCTGATTTCTGTTTTAGATTTGTAGAAGATAATTGAAGCATGTCCATTTGCCACTGCGGTGAAGCCCATGAGCAGATACCCTGTGACTTAATTCTCAGGTTTTCTGCGCGCATATGTGTGAATTATATGTAGAACCCTTTTTCAAATTTTTATTTGTTTTAAATGGGTTCAGCCCTTTTATTGAATTTGTAACTAAAGTAAGCTAATAAAATATAGCCCTAATTTTAAGCAGTTTCTGTGCATATAAATCTGAACAGTTTATTAAAACCTCCTGCTTTCCTGTGCTTAAGACAATTCCATGCGGTAAATTCACACTGAGAAAAGGGAGCTCTCTTCTACTGGGTTGTCTCTTTGGCACATGCCAAGTTACCACTGTGCTGCTGCCACTGGCCATAAATGGAGGGAATCTTCTCTACCCTCTCCAAAAATTTGCTGGTAGGGAGTGGAAAATGCCAAGCATAGGAAAAAATTGTCCCTATTTTTTTCCTGCTCCCACCTCGGAAGTATATAGTGAAGCAAACCTGCCCATTTCACTGCTTGTTCTAAAACATATTTTCATTCCTGTTGCCTTGGACAGTTTTGTTTTATCTTCCTGGTTTCAGGACAACTATACATGTAAAGGTAAAGGTAAAGGGACCCCTGACCATTAGGTCCAGTCGTGACCAACTCTGGGGTTGCGGTGCTCATCTCGCATTATTGCCCGAGGGAGCCGGCGTACAGCTTCCGGGTCATGTGGCCAGCATGACTAAGCCGCTTCTGGCAAACCAGAGCAGCGCACGGAAACGCCGTTTACCTTCCCTCCGGAGCGGTACCTATTTATCTACTTGCACTTTGAGGTGCTTTTGAACTGCTAGGTTGGCAGGAGCAGGGACCGAGCAACGGGAGCTCACCCCGTCACGGGGATTCAAACCACCGACCTTCTGATCGTCAAGTCCTAGGTTCTGTGGTTTAACCCACAGTGCCACCCATGTTGCAAACTGGGACTGCACTGCAGAATCATTGGTTCCCTTCACCTACCCTCTCCCTTTCGGAACCCAAATCCCCCTCTTCTCTTCTCTTCTCTTCTCTTCTCTTCTCTTCTCTTCTCTTCTCTTCCCTGCCACCTGCCCAAAAGCTGAAGTGTGGTTTGAAACTGGCTTTAGACCCTGGATCATGCAGAACCCTGGTGAGCCTTAACTATGGTTAATGCCACTTAACAAAATGTTGGTTAATGACGTGACGGTTAATTATGGTTAAGAGCTAATGGTGGAATTTGGGCTCCATAATGGAGGGGGTAAGAAAAGGAACATAGGTTCCTGCACCCTCACGCTCAATGTGGTCAAAAATTGGTAACACATCATTACTATTACTATTTATTAAATTTATATATCACCCTTCACCCGAAGGTTACAGGGTGGTTGACAACATAAAAATACAAAATGAGAACACAAACTACAGAATAAAAACAAACCCAAAACAAACCAATAACGCCCCTCTCCCACAAACAGACATTTTCTCCTGGCACCTAGAGATGCATAATGAAGGTGCCAGGCGAGCCACCCTAAGGACAGCACCCCACAAGCGGAGAGCCACCACAGAAAAGTCTTGTTCTCATATTGCCACCCTCTGGACCAGTCTCAGAAGGGCCCATGAAGAAGAACCTCAGATGATGATTGCAGGGTCTCCGACAGTTCATATAGAGAGGCAGTCCTTGTGCATGTGCACCTTCCCTCAAATAGTCAACTTCCTGTAATGTTTTTTTCCTAAAAAAACAAACAGCAACATCGGGTATAATATTCCCTGTTACAGGATTATAGTTGTTTTTAGCACTTTATATAAAAAAAGAAGTTTGTTTTTCCACTCTTTGCCAAACTATCGAACATCAAAATTTGGCATATTTACCCGCCCAGCTTTCTTTCAGGAGCTTTTGGTACATACCCAGATTATCATGTTTCCTCAAGATTAGTCATTAAATATGTTGTGCTTTGGTTTGTGTGTTAATCTTCACTGTATAAAACAACAGGAACAAGAAGACAAAGCTGCTGTTTGTCCCACAAATTTTGTTCAGTGAATAACTGACAGCAGCTGTGTATATCAGTAATATTTGGGAACGATAGAGAATCTCCTAAGACTAAATGTAAATATCCCTGTCCTACAGTTCACTTACTATTCTTTAAAAACAAATCTTTGTAATCTCAGTTCTCTGCATTTTACTATGTTAGCCTGATTTGTTTTTCAGACCCCACTGATAGCAAAACACCATGGTGGTCAAATTATACACTGAAATCCCAAAGCCATCTTTTCTCTCCCCAATCCCCGATCTATAGTTATTATAGCTCTACCTATTAGGAAAATAGGTATACATATGTTTAATTTACTACTTAAGGAATTGTCATGTGTTAATTTTTATGCCCTTTACTTTATCTCTTAATGTAATAAATCCTGGAATCAGGATGCAGGTTGGCATAACTAAAGTTCTGCAGATTTAAGAGAGATTTGGCTATTGTAAACTTCTGTGTATTCATCTTCTTACCCAAATTATTGTTTACATCCTGCTCTGCAGCTCTCATGTTTTGAAGTTGTTATTACTGATGCCTTTATTTCCTAGATTCACTGAAATGAAATTAAAAACTTTTTTAAAAAGTAGAGGTGATCGTCTGAATGCATCCTCAGTCTTAAAAAGCTTGTAAATGCCTTGTGAGAATACTTTAGGATTTATTGCTTAAGTATAGAGGAATGTTTCTGTCTGGTGATAGGTATTTATTTTAAAAGGGGTCCTAATACAGAAGGTGTCATAACAAATAATTTTTTCCTGTTTGTATATGTATAGGTAGGTTTTGGAGAGTTGCCTTTTGACAGCACTGACAACTTTAGCAGCTGTCCTGACGTTTGTTTCCGGGTGGCAGAATACAATTTCTTGTGTCACAAGGTATGTATTCATATTGACTTAGTTTACTAGGGCAGCTTTTTCACTTGCATCTTCCAATTTGGCACATACCAAGGTATATTTCTAAAGCCAGACAGATTTGTAAAACTACGTTGCGGTAGCAGGGGGAGCAGGGATTCTAAGGAAGTCCTCACTGCAATTCATGAGCATGCTGATTGTAGTACACAACAGAATCCCATGCCTGCCTACTCAGAAATAAGTCACAATGAGTTTTGTGGGACTTAGTCCCTGGTACGAACTGTCCCACTGTTTCTTGGAAGTGATTGGTATTAAATGTTTCTGCCTGACAGCTTTCCTTAGCCACATGGCTGCAGTGCTATGTGACACTGAAGACGACAATTATAGAGCCTCCAGCTGAAAATGAGAAGCTCACCGCATGCTTTTTCATATTCCCAGCTCTACTAAATGAGCTAGTGTGAACTGCCAGTACCTGCTATGCTGAGGCCAGCAGTCTGAGCACATGTGTAGCCGCATAAGTTGAGAATTGTCTGTATGTTTCTACGTTCTTTAAATGTGTGGGTTTCCTAAGCTGTATTATATCACTGATAGGTGAGCTGCCTTGGACTCCCTTGGGAGGTAGGGCAGGGTGTAAATGCAATAAATAAACCTTAGAAAGCCAGGAGGGTCAATAGAAATCATTCATATCTGGTTGCTCTCCTGGTGTGCTGGGCAATGCTGAGCCAGGGAGATTCCTGCTTTCTTCTCTTCTTGCAGGCATTTTTCTGTGGCCGCAGTGACTATTTCAAAGCACTCCTAGAGGATCACTTCTCTGAAAGCGAGGAGCTGCAGACCCAACCTAGCATCCCTGTAGTTACCCTCCATAACATTTCAGAGGAAATCTTCATCAGGGTCCTCTATTACATCTACAGTGATGACACAGAGGTGAGTTTTCAATTTTCACCCTTTCTGAGCACAGCCCATTTCTAGAACATTTGTTCTAGCAAGGACTGCTGTGGCCCTGGGAGAAAAGTGCCAGAATTGCCACTGTGTGGTGGGAACAGAGTATTAAGCTTATTTAATGAGGCCTGTTAACTTGCAGATGTCCCAACCATGGGATAAAAGAACCCTTATCTTTTCCTGTGAAATCATAGAATCATAGAGTTGGAAAGGGACCCTGAGGATCATCTAGTCCAACCCCCTGCAATGCAGGAAAATGCAGCTGTCCCATATGGAGACCGAACCTGCAACTATGGTGTTATCAGCACCATGCTCTAGCCAACAGCTATTCAGCTTACCCTGGATCTTTCGCTTATCTTTCACTGCATAAAAAGCCATTGAACCCTTTCTGGTTCAATAAACATTTCCCCAATTTTCTTGCCTTTTTTTAGTGGGTCTTACGTCCCTCCCCCCAAAATGCTTGAATTTTATTTGAGGTTAGACGTGAACTTTATTTACAAGACTGCAGTGCAGCCATCCGTAAATGACAAGAAACAACCACCATGGATAAAAATATATCCTCTAAGTCAACATGTCTCTCATACTGACTGCTTTCTTGCCCCCATGTGGTCCATTTTTTCTGATGCCAACTGGGAGTACTCACTCATCTGAGGAATTGTGTGACAGCACTAGAATACATAGGGTGGTCAATCTGCCACTAGGGGGCAGTGCCAATACACAGTGAACTAGCTAGAGATGCACTGTTTTCTCCTGTTTGTATTGCTGCTTGTCTCATTCAGAACAAAAGGCGTGGTTGCACCTTTCCCAGAAGTCCTAATCTAGATTGAATACTGGAGTGTGTGAATCCTGCACTTGTTGCACAGGACTTGGCATAGGATGCTTAAGGAATTGTTGATCGTGTGTTGTATTTTGAGTAACCAGAGGGTCTGCAAATGTAGGAGATGCAAAACTTCAGGGTGGTGTCCATGCTGTCAAAATGGTTGCAGGCATTTGCCTGTCGACCAAAAGTTGACACAGAGCTTTTGGTCACTGTGGAGCAAAAGTGTTGCCGCTGTCAACATCAGCAGTCTGTTGTGGTGCTGTCTAAGCAAGTGAGTGGCGAATCTGTGGGAAAAGGAACACGGCGGCAGCAACACTCAGCAAGAACGGTTTGGGGGATGAAGCCATCACTGAAAGAAAGGCTTGCCAAATGTCTCGTTAATATCCTGAGATGTGCATATGCATTTTGGCTGCAGTCTCCCGTCAGCTACAGGACTGACAGGTGAAGTGGGAGGTGGTAATCTCATTCCCAAGGAAATTGAATCCCTGTCATGCAGTGAGCAAGCTCCAGCTCACTGCTCTGAGCTCAGAAACGCAGCAAACTGGAAAGCAAGAGCACTTTCAGAACTGAAAAATAGCTGCAGCTTTCCCTCTCCTCCAGTGGAATTATACATTGGCTGGCTCTCTCGGAGCTGCCATTTGCCTTGTTTTGTGTGCTGCTCCTTTAGAGAGCAGGGCTGGGGGACCAGATGTTGCTGGACCCCATTGGTTGTGCTGGCTGGGATTTTTGGGAGGGTGACTGAAGGCTATAGGTTCCCCACTCCTGCCTTAGAATACTTACATGTTGTGCTGGGGGTGTGTGGAGAGACTGAGAGCCATCTTCAGCTAGTTGTTGTCAGACTCCTACCCCTAAATCTCATTGCATCTGGAAGGCATTTCACACTGTAGGGAAGTGAGATGCTAAAGGGTAGAATGTAGTGAGAGCACACTTTGCTCTGCAGAATACTCTCTGAGACCATGAATCTCTTTTTCCCCCTTGATCTGTCGTCCTGCAGGGCAAGAAGCAAAGCTGCCAACCAAGCCATCTGTCCTTGTTTTCTTTCAAGCTAAGGAACTCTTGAAACAATTATCTTCTTCTTCACACACACACACACACACACACACACACACCTTGCTTTAAGGCTAGGGAAGTTTCTTTTAAAAATCATGACCCATATTACAAGCATTCCTGTTCTTGAGTAATTCCAAAATTTGGGTATGGATTACTACTGAACTTCTTTGCATTTCAGATGTTATTTTTATTAATTACTTCCCCTTCACCATAACGTCCCAGGGCAGGTCACAACAATTTAAAATAAAATACTAAAAACAGTTTAAAGCAAACAGGATGGGTCTTACAAATACATATATCAAGTGTCAAAGGTCAGAGATGCATCTTCATCAGCATATGATGAAAACTGCATAGCAAGGGCACCAGAAACACCGCTGTCAGGAGGGTATTCCACAACTTAGGGGCTGACACAGAGAATGCCCTCTCTAGTTCCCCACCCCTGCTGAACTTCTGAAGGCTGTGGAGCAACCAAGAGGACCCAATAGAGTTTGTAGGAAAGGAGGTGACATTTCCAATATTTGGGGCCTAAGATGTTTGGGGCTTTAAACACTGAAATGAGCTCTTTGACTTGGGCCTGGAAAAGAAGTGGCAGCTAATGCAGCTGTTTTAAGACAGGGTTCTACAAGTTCCAAATGTGACCCCAGCCAGTAATGTGGCTGATGCACTTGGGCTACCTGAAGTTTCCAAGTGGTCTTCAAGGGCAGCTGCTTGTAGAGTGCAATAATCCAGTCTGGGAGTTAACAGAGCATGGAGTACAGTGGCCAACATCTCTGTTTCAAAGTTGGCTGTAACTGGCAAACCAGTCAGGAATAGCTGGCAAGCCAACACCCCTAGCCACTGAGGCCACCTGGACCTCTAGGTGACCCAGGTGTAGACCCAAAGTACAGAATTGCTCCTTCCAGGGACATGCAAGCCCATCCAGACCAGGCTGTCTCACATATTCACTACTGTAGATTCACTGCTCAGAGGTATGAATCTGTCTCCCTATATACTCCACTTAGAAGTGGGATCTTTTTTTGTTTCTATATTTTCCCACAGTAATGCCCAGGCTAGTGTTCATGGGAATGCCCTCCAAAAATGTCCAGAAACTTCTGCTGGTTTAAAAACTGGTGACCGGTATTGCATCTGCTCCTTGTAAAAGGGGTATGATAGAAGTGTGAATAGTAATAACCAGGGACAGGGTGTCATGAGCATTTTATGCCACTGCCAAAAGAGCTGTATTGCCTCCTCCTTGGTTACTGGGCACATTTTTACCTTTAAAGTTCAGCACAACCTGGGACTGGGGTGTCTGAAGGAACATGCTCACCCAGCAGTGAATTTTCTTGCCTGTCTTGAGACCCTTTCCTGGCTCCTCCCTGCCTTCTGAGGTTAGGTGGTTGGAGAGAGATTGCTTTGCCAGGGTTGACACACACATTCTAGAATTACTCCCTCATTTGTTTCTGGCACTTTTTGCTTTTATCTCTTAAGCACTAGATGAAGACTTTCTTGCTTTGTTAGGCTTTTAATGACACCTGCCTTGCCTTTTTATGCTATCTGCTTCCCCCGGCATGTGTCTTTGTTTTCAATGGCTCTTCATTTTGTGCCATCTGTTGCTGTTTTTATTTCATGGTTGGCCACCTTGAAACAATTCTTTTTAAAAAGGTACACAAGTTATAGTGCTAAAATGTGGCCTGTACATCTGTACTCTCCTTAGGTTCACTTCCTGCTGACTTTGGTTTTAGTCCTCCTCCTAAATCATTTCTTTCTTTTTTTAAAAAAAGACACATCTCTGGTAAATGTTTGCCATGTGAAGAAGTTTCAAAATGCGGTGACTGAGGAGGGAACTGAACAGTGCAAACTCTTCATCCTTGGAATAACAGTGAAATGGGCAAAAGCAATAGACCTACATATCAGACATTCAGGATTTTCTCCCAACACTTTTTCGAAGAAAAGAATAGGTAGATCTTCCCCTCTTGAGCCCAGTACAATGTTTAGCTTGTTAGCGCCAGACTTCATGATACCTACAACAATTGAGGCTAGGTCTGCTTTGAAGCAGAGTGAAGCAACACACTATAGGTGGTAGTGGTAGAGAAGAGATGAGGCCATAGTTTGGTGTCTGAAGGATGCAGAAAGAAAGAAGTATTGGTGGGCGCCATTTAGGCTGTTCTTCAGGCAGCAGAATGCTCTGGGTTAGCACTGACATCATGAGTTGTCATATTTGTGTATGGCAGTGGAAATAGCAAGGCTCTTGGCTGTAATGGCCAGTGAACTGCGCTGTGCCAGTTTACTATAGTGTTCTTTACAAAAAAGAATAATTTAGTTTAGTTTCTTCAGTTCTTTTTTTAAAAAGATTTTCTTGGCTTACAAAAGTACATGCCTTGTCTCTTTAGTTTCTTCAGTTCTATGTAACTAAAGCCCAGCAAATCTTTGCAGAGAATCCACTAGAGCATTGCTGCTTTCACTTTCAAACAGCAGCAAAACTACTTGCAATGGGACTCCTAGAATCATGGAATCATAGAATTGTAAAGCTGGAAGGGACCTCAAGGGTCATCTAGTCCAATCCCCTGTAGTGAAAGAATCTCAGGTTACTGATACATGGTCCCAATTAAATGAACATCAAGGATTTGAACTGACATGGCAAAGTCAGATTTGTCTTGGTGTTGTGTTTCGGAATGCTTGGATGAGTGGCTTAAAGTGTCTGGGAGGAGGAAATGTCAAAGCCAGGCAATTCAAACCATAGCAGTGAACTTGCAGTGAATATTAAGACAAATTTCCTGGGCCTAGATTTTTTGGAAGAGGATGATTGGTGTACATGGCATAGGGCTTAGCAGCTTGCAGGGGTCAAGGAGCTAATGGAGGATGGAGGAGTGGCGTATTATCTATTGCACCATTGCACACTGGCTGTGTCCACATGTTTCCTCCAAACAAATCATGAGCTCAGGTTCTACTGACACAACAACAAGCCCAAGACTTGTGGCTTGTTGCTTCCAGTATGGTGTGGCCAGGAGCAGGAGAAGAGTGAAATAGGAACTTACTGGCATTAAACCATAGTTAACTGGCTTAGTGAAGCATACGAACAAGGTCTCTTAAGTCACTTGCATTTGATCTTTAAGCAAAACAAGCAGTGGTCCAGTATGAGAACACTTTTAAAAAATGATCCTACTGGAAGCATACATGTCTAAAGACTCTTGTTGGTATGATGCACCTGTACAACTTTCAGAAATGATCCGAGTGGTGTGGTGGTAATAGATTCCTGCTGCATCCAGCTCACAAAATACTCCTTCAGCAAAAGTTCTATGAATGGCACATTCCAACATAATGCACACACAGGCATTTATGGAAATAATTACTAAAGATGATCCAGCGCTGGATTTAGTGCAGGTGGTTCCCCTGCCAAGGTGAGGGGGCGCAAAATGATGATGATAATAATTTAAAAACCTATATTTATACGGGTGCTTACTGAAAAGATCCATTAAAAAAAGCAGGTGTAGCAAAATGAATTATTGTGAAAATAATAAATATTTAGATACCCAAGGCTATTGCAGTGCATCTTAGTGATGACTTCTGTGCATTGTCAGGAGATATATCATATCCACACAGAACCGCACTTGGTGAATGACCTGCAACTGAAGATTTATCCAGGCCTGAGAATTTTTCAGAAGTGGTGGTGTAAAATATTTTCACTGGTATGGGTTTGAGCTGGCAAAGCTAAGTCTTGTGTGTGAGTATTTGATTTGGTTGTGCTTGTGCCTAGACTTTTAAACTAGTTATGAACTTCAAGTCTTCGGGCAGAATATAAATAAATTGCATTTAATCATATAAATGAGTGTCACTGTTGCAGTCAGATGTGATTTCCAGACAGGGTTTTAGTTTTGATACCGAGCCCATTTTGATGGATGCCCTTTTGTCACGGCAGCTGTCTCCTGATAATGCCTACGAAGTGCTTTGCGTCGCAGACATGTACCTGTTACCTGGGCTCAAGCGCCTTTGTGGGAGGACTTTGGCCCAGGTTCTCGATGAGGAAAGTGTTGTCAGCATCTGGAAGATCGCAAAGCTGTTTCAGCTGACCCGGCTGGAGGACCAGTGCACGGAGTACATGGCAAAGATCATTGAGAAGGTAAGGAGGGGAGCTTTCCCTAGGGATGGGTTGGATGCAGCAGCCAACAGGTAACCAACGTTCATCTCTCTCAAGGCATTTTAAGCCTGGTGTATGCATAGTTGCCCACATTTCTTAAAAACAAGGCATCATGTTCTCTGTAGAACAGCAAGGGATGGAGGACTGTGGATCAACTGCTTGCCTGAACTAGTTGCTTGGTTAGTTTATTTGAAATGTTAGGATTTTCAGGTGCAGAAGTAACACACGAAAGAGCTCAGTATCCTAAGTAGTCCTAAAATATGGTGGCACAGTTTGTATTTTAGAGAAGGTTCTCATACATATAAACTTTCTGTTGATTTGTATCAATTGTGGCAGATTCAAGAGTCTATTACTTTACTGTAAGCTTCCATGGAGGAGCATTGGCCTAATAGTACAAGCCATATCTTCTTGTACTGAATCTTGGTTACAAAGATCAGTTTGTCCCACAACCCCACCAGGTTGTACCTTAAGCATTAACTGCTACATTGCAGACCTCAGTTATGTGCAGAGTACATACATCCTGCTACTTTAATCCCATATTATATCATGCCGTCTCCCCAAGAAATGCTTAGGCAAGGATTATTTGAAATATCTCCCAACTAAGTGGGTGCAGAAATCTAAATTGTGCTTTAACTGGACAGTACTAACATGCATTTATGCCAATGTTTGCCCCAGGAGAAGAGCAAGAGTGCTGCCTTCTTTCCATCTCCTCTCCTGCTTGACCAGTTGTAGTTTTGACAGTCCCATACTACAGTCCCATGAACACAGGTTCACAGTCTTGCCTCTGCTGGGCATTTGGGAGCCCAGTCAATTCACTGATTTTTTTTTTTTTAATGGCTCTAATTCGCACACCCACACAAGTTGCAACTGTTCTTAACAGGCTTTGAGAAAGGTGTGAAATTCTTTCTTGACTGTGAAAGCACATTGAAGAAAATGATTTCTTAACAGATCCACTTATACAAAAGTTCCTCTCCCATTTTTCCCCAGTGAAAACAAGCAGGAAGTGGTTCTTAGTGGGGAGCCCTTTGTTAGCCAAACAAAACTCAGGACTTGCCATTTAACTGCACTGCTGTTAAGAATTCTAAAGGATTCTGTTTTTCCTGCACCTTCGCCGTGCTAGTATAATAGGCCACCAGTAATTTTTTTAGATGTTGAATTTATATTGGAATATAGAGGCACAGGCCTGTGGAACCATGCTTTTTGTAGCCTTTGGTGGGTATCGTACTTCATCAGCCTTTTTTGCTTCTGTGAAAAATAGTTTAAAACGCCTGTTCCTGCTTTACAGGGTATGGGAAGCTCTGTTAAATGTTTGAGCAGTACCCACAAAGGCAGTGGGCTGGGACAGCTAGTGAAGAAGTTGACTAAGATTGCTTAGATTAAGTGGATGCTATGTAATGGCTAAAACACCAGTTCTAGAGGGACCTTGTGTTGGGTAACTTTTTGTTTTCTGAGGTTAAATAGTTCAATAAATGGTGGGATGGAGGGAGCAAGAGGGATGGGTGGTTCCAAACAGAAAGCCTTTATGTAGTAAACGTGTTTTTTTGTTTTTTTGTTTTTTAAGGTTTCAGATAGTTGTGCTGCCATTTTTTAATGGCAAAGTTGCATCTCACACCTAGGTCTGCATTTTTTGAAAAGACATGCTTTTCTTGCTTGCCAGGTCTTCATCAAACTATTGAGCTCAATTAGGCCTCCTTATGGAAAAGGTGGTCTAGTGTGGTGTAGTGGTTAAGAGCGGTAGTCTCGTAATCTGGGGAACTGGGTTCGCGTCTCCGCTCCTCCACATGCAGCTGCTGGGTGACCTTGGGCCAGTCACACTTCTTTGAAGTCTCTCAGCCCCACTCACCTCACAGAGTGATTGTTGTGGGGGAGAAAGGGAAAGGAGAATGTTAGCCGCTTTGAGACTCCTTAAAGAGAGTGAAAGGCGGGATACCAAATCCAAACTCTTCTTCTTCTTCTTCTTTTGTGTGGTGTTACAATAGAGTGATTCTTCTTCCCACTATTCTGAAATTTAATATAATGCTTTCAGTGTGAATCTTTTTTGTTTTGTTTTTTGTTTTTTTGGTAACTCATGTCCATATGATGCATAATTGTACACACTGAATCAGAATTTCTTCTGTACTACTACCGCTGTTTAAAATTCTAAATGACATCATTATGCTGAGGACTCTAATGTGCTTATCAGCCTGCCAATTTCCTTCACCACTTCTCTTTCCAATCCAGCTAGTGGAGTTTGAGGAGTTTGCCGTGGCAGTGAAGGAGAATGCTGAGGCAGTCGAAGAACGGCAGGAGACAGACTCAATCCCTCTTGTTGACGACATCCGTTTCCACATAACCAGCAACGTGCAAACATACAGTGCAATTGAAGAAGCCAATCAGAAACTGGAAGCTCTGGATAATCTTCTGGCCAGCATAGGACTTGAATGCTAATCTGGGACATCACCCTGTGTGACTTCACAGTAGATCAGCTCAGAGTTCCCTGTCCTCGCCCCCCTGGGTTTTGTAGCTGCTTTCCCCTTTTATGCATAATTTCAGTTTCTAACTTAACATTCTGACAATTGCATACTGATCTACCTTTCTTCTCCTGAGAACCTGGTCCCCGGAAGCAGCTCAGATTTGAAAACATTGCTGCTTGTACATGATAGTGCTGACGGGTGATCTGCAAACCAAATTTAATGAATGTATTGATTGGCATATTGTGAGGCTGCCAGATGTTGCAGGCCAGCGATGCCTAGTGAAAATTGGTGCAGCCTGCAAGAACATTGGCACAACACCTTCCTGCAAGCAGATTAAATTCAAGGCAGTCGCTGGTTAAGGAATGAATCAGACTGCCTTTCATGATCCATATTTTACAGGATAATTAGGGAGATAGGCACTTTTACTTCTACAGGGCTACAGAAATGTTGTGCTTGTGCAGTGGTATCTGCATTTGCCTGCTGCTTGCCTTGCAGAAATGGCTGTGTTTATTCATCCTGCAGCCTTATCTTCCAGATTTGCACAGTGGGGGCAGAGCAGAACCTTGGCTTTCTAACCCAGATGCCTTATTATTCAGCAAGCTCCTGTTCAATTCAGGTGTCCCATTTGTTTTTTATTCCCCATTTCTGCAGTTCCTACTGGAATACAGTAGTACTCCACGAAATTGCATGGCTCGACTTTTGTCTCGAGTGCAAACACACTTGCAAACAGCTCCTCTTTACAAGTTTCTTTTGTAGAGGATGCTCAAACGCTGACGTTTAGCAGGAACTTTAGTCATGTGTCTGTTCCACTTCAAGCATAGTTGTGACATTTTGTAGATATTGCTGGGCTTGGAAGTTTAGTTCAGGTGGTTCGCAAAGTCTTCAAATCCTGGTTTGGAGTGTGTGAGTGTATGTGTGGCACGCAGCATTTCTTCCTTTCTCGCGGAAGCGTAACTTATTGCCCTGTTCAGGTAGTGGTATGGGGTGGGCTTGAACTGTCATGCAACCATCTTCACCCCCTGACCGCCCAGTGCCAACGCACTTGACCTCACATTGGCATAGACCCAAATAGCGTGATCAACACATTCTGAAATTAGGGTCTATGAATCACATTACTCTGGTACATGCATGTTGGTGTACAGACAAGAAAAGCAGCGTCTCACTACTGCTGAAGAGTGTGCAGCGTGTCATCTCCCCCTGCCCCTCCCTTTAGAAATAGCAGGAGTTGGAGGCAGCTACAATCTGGGCTTGCATAGTGCTCATCCCACCATCACTAAACTCTACTGAATGGAGTCAAACATCTGCTTGTAACAAAGCTAACCAAGGCATGTCCTTTAAGGCTGCCACAAGTTAGTAGATTTTTTTAAACACAAACTCCTCTTAAAATCTTCCTAGCAAGCGCTACTTTGAGACTTTGGCAATTGGAGAACATTTTGGGAGGAGGTGGAGATGTGAACAACGCAGGAAAGGGCTGTGTTGCCTAACATGGAAACTTTCCTAGCTAAGATAATGCAGTGGCTCTGTACCACATAACCTTAAGAATTATGTGCTGTATAAATATAAATATGACAAGGAGGCCCACTTTGGATTATCCTGGCAATGTGAGGATGATTATTCATATATACAAATACTATTAAGCATGAGTACAATTGCATTAGTAGATGCAGTTGCTCTGGCTGATGTAATACTGGGCCTTCAGTTTTCCACTGATAAGTGTTCACAATCAAAGTGAGGTCAAGAACTTGTTTTTTCACTTTCCATTGATGGGTGTGATGAAATGAGAAACTTACATTGGGTCTTTTCCCATTTTCCTATCTGGTTTCTTGACTTGGAACAAGATAATGACATTATATAACCATGTAAGCAGAGTCAGGGCTTACCAGAAGTTACTGCCTGCCATACTGGAGATTCATCATCCTTTAAATGTTTTGTTATAGAATGGGAAATGGGTGTGTGTGGGTGTGTGGGTGTGTGTGTGTGTCCTAGATTCTACACCTGTAATTCATGTCCCTAGAGAGATACAGTAGTAGGACCGAGTTTTTGGTGTTCTTGGCTCTATCTCAAGGCATATATATCATCCATATTTATGTGATGTTATTCCCATGCAGGCTCTCTTAAATGAGGCACTTAAACTCTGACTTATTTCAGTCTCTGCTTTGGAATACACAGCCATCCCAGTCTCTAAACAAGTCCCCTTTGAGCCGCCACAAATCTACAGTAAGGGTCCATGCAGTATTTGACAAATGAAACTAACTTGACATAGAATTTGACACTTCTGACTCCTGATTTTGTGCCAAGGAAAGCACATCTCTTAAAAGAATGGTACTTGTTCAAAATCATGTGGAACAGTTCTGTTATGCAGAGGCAGCAAAGTAAAAAACCTGGCCAAGGTATTATTTTCCCTACTTTTCACCAAAAGTAGTCACAGAAATTAAGTTTGATGCTAGAGTGTTTGGGACCTGGATTGGCTAGGCATAATTTCTCTCCATTGTGTTATGGCAACAACTTGGAAGAGCACCTCACAGAATAAAAGGGCATCATATTGAAAGGGGCACAACTTTATTATTGAGCTGCTGATTTCATTCTGTTCCGTAGTCTTCCTGTTATCATGAAAAAGGATTCAGCTGGTTATCTGCTGAATTTAGCAAACAAATGAGGTTTAACCTTTTAGAGTTTATGCCAGTACTGAATTATTGGGGCAAAAACAAACCAGAAGCACAGAAAGTTTTTTTTAAAAAAAGGCATACTAGTATTTCTTCTTTCAAGTGTCTGGTAAAGTAAATGTGAAATATAATTAGTTAATTGTCAAGAAGCATGGCACCTGGGTGCTTCTGGTGAAATGACTTCTGACTCTTTCTTTTAATTGTAGAGCCAGTGAAAGAGTGTCATGGTGGCCTTTGTTTTCTTGCCTAGTAACAAAGGTTTGCTCAGACTGCTAAATATGCTGGAGAAATTAAGAATGGATTGCCAGTGTGAATGAGTTTTATAGTTGCATTTCTGAGTTCAGCTCCCTGGTGAATTGTCCTATCACTCCCAACTAACTGTCTGGTAGTATTTAGATTCTTGCCCTTTGCAAGAGGAAACAGATACTAGGAGCCACAGTTACAAGTGAAAAATTGCCAATTTAAATAATTAAAAAAATGAAATTAATGGATTTCTAATATTTATTGAACTTGTTTCTCTTGGCTATTGGTTGTAGTTATATTGCAAGACAATTTAAATGTAAATTGTTTCCTTTGTTTACATTGGTTCTGCCCTCTGCTACTTGTTAAAAATAAAGAGAATGTAAAGCTTTTCAGAATGGCAATATAATAATAATATATTTAAAAGCTTAATATATAAGCATGTGTGCAGCAATAAAGAGTTTATTTCATTAGATCTGGTTTGGCTGTGTGTCATTAATTCATTATATGAATGAGTGCTTAAAAGGGTTTCTTACATGCTCTCCCCTCCCCCTTCCCAGGCAGTAGCTGTGGTTGTGATGAGATGGAACTGTCAAATGCCACACAAATGTTTTTCCACCGTGGCACCATCTTCAGATTAATATGTTGTGCAGATGTTATGAGCAAAGAGCTGGGTGCTAAATAGTGGTGACTTGACACCATTTAATTCCATGCTTCTAGTAATGATCCTGAGGTAAACATACTACCTATATTGCATAATTTCATAGTTCCTTCCTGAAATTCTAGTACCTCATGAAACTCTCCTCCCATGACTCACAGCCTGTGGTAGCAATCAGGGTAGGACTAAGAAAACAGGTTGGTGTGAGTGACTCAGAGGGATTTACAATACTGTGGTACCTCTGGTTGCGCACGCTGCGGGTTACAAGCTCCGGTGTGAGCGGAAATTACACGCCAGAGGCGCGCGCACAGCGGAAGGCACACTTTCACTAATGGCGCCTCAGGTTATGAGCGGTTTCCGGTTACGAACGGATTCCAGTCGTAACCAGAGGTACCACTGTACCTGGTCCTGTCAGTGAAAACATTTAGGCCTAATATATGGGATCCCATGCCACTGGTGGTCTGAACACAGCACTGACAGTTCTGTGTGACCCCCACTCCCCCCGCCTTGAACAGTAGTTTATTTTCTCAGTCCTGGCACATATGGATTTGCCTAATTTTATTTTAACAGCAGCATTGAATTTGGCTAGTCTGTGAAAGCAACTTGCCCATGAAAATGCAGGGACTTCATGACTGGGGAGAGGGGAGAAGGGAAGAAGAAATGTCCGCTTATTCTTGTATATTCTAGTGCAACTACTAAAAAGGCATGTACTGAAACAGAAGGGACAAAACATGGGCATTGCAATGAGTCTTCCGAAACACTGTTAACATATATGAGTTGCACTCAAGTATTTCTTGTATTATTATTATTTAAATTTGTATGCCACCCTTTATCCATATATTCGTAGAATGTGCTGTCTACATTCACCTTGAGAATGTCTTGTCATTGCAAACCTAGCTAGGACCAGTTCTGCCACCACTTCTTGTTTACTCTCTTGCCTATTTCTCTTTTGGAGCCTTCAGAGTTTGCCATCACTGCACGTCCAGAGCTTCTTCTGAACTTGGGATCTTTTCTCAGTTTGTCGCGCACTGGCATATTTTTCAGCTTCCTCTCTCTCTTGTTCTCCATCCCTCCTCCCACCAAGTAGCCTGGAAGTTTTGTGCCTACTTTGTCTAGGCCTGGCTTACACATGCAGCAAACTGAGGTGGGGGCGAGGTGGCAGAATAGGCTGGGATGGCAGGTAGGGTGCATTAAAAACACAATTCTCCTCTACACAAACTCCCAGCAGATAGGTTTGAACCCAGACTGCTCTGTTTGTCCCCATTTCTCATTTTGTGTGTACTGCATCCACACCTGCACTCCTGATACTTTCTGCCCCACCACCTCAATATTTTATCTCTGCTCATCCAGCCATGCACTCTTCAACTTGTGCCTGGACCTTGGCCCCAGATGAGACTCTGTCTCCCAACAGCATTTTGTAACGAAAGCAACAATAGTTTTCAGAATAGAAAAACCAGGAATAAAAATGGCATGGCATTGCAGTTCACATCTGTGAAACAGATATATGGTTTTCCCTGTTTCAGGGAAGCACTTGTAAGTTATGTCCTCTTGTTCTAACTAAAATTACGTCTCCAAGGTGGATTTAAGATAATCCACTGGTTAACCTTTTTGCAGAAAATGAAGTGTCCAAAATGGTGTTACTCAGATTTTCAGTGTACAAGGTCCTAAGCAAACTGTTTTCATTGTTTTTTGGTATTTTTCGGAAGAGGGATATTGATGGATGGATGGATAGATAGATAGATGATAGATAGATAGATAGATAGATAGATAGATAGATAGATAGATAGATGATAGATATAAAACCAGGAAAGTTGAGCGGATCCACCTTCAGGAAAAGGGTTAATTACCTGAGTGCTTCAGAAAGGTCAAAACCGTGAGACTGCTGTGGAAGTAACACAAATGAAAGAGAAAAAGAAAAGTAAAAGAGAAGAGTGCTGTTGCTGATGCTGTCTGGTTGGTGGGCTGGTAAGTAGGCGAAGGCACTTCCATTATCGCTGTCTTTTCACTCGAGGGCTTTATAGGAACAGCGCTAAAACTAACATGAATAATTAAATAAGCCGGAGGTGCCTGCTTTAAAAGGGCACCAGTCACGAGACTTCAAACACTGCCATCAACGTGGCACATTTTTAAAAGGGTATTTCAATCTCTTGACTTCATGAGTTGAATGAAGACCAGGAGTGAAAGTAAGTGGTCAC